TCCTCTCAATGAGTGGGTATAATAGGTGGAAAGCAATTTGTTCCCTAATACCTGTACGTTATAATTATTTTCGATTGCCTACTCGTCAAAGCGTAACTTGTAGAAGGGGAGCTAAAAAACAAAAGATGTTTTAAATATATTGTATGCAAAATATGAAAGTATTGTCATTTTGGTTGATCCGTCTGGGATATACAACTCAATTCGCGCGGACGATGCTATAATAATTTCGTCATGCAAAAGTCAACTAACTTAAGCTAGGGCTGCATTACACGTAAAAATAGCCAACACGGTCTAAATGAGTAATGATCGATATACCCTTCTTTCGGTTCAACATAAAGCAAACTCTCGAGCCCTAGTTAACTTACACCTAGCAATATGTCATGAATGATCTAGAGTACATTAATAATACAAAATTATATTTTACTCCGTCTCCCAAAAAAACGAATTTACATTACTGTTTTTTAGTACAAATTTAAAAACTCAATATGGACTATTTTTATGAATATATAGACAATATTAGTGTCCGCTTGGACCACGTTTTGTTAGTTTTTGATTTAGATTTGGAAAGAGATTTAACGTATAGTTTAAGTGATATTTTTATAAAAAAAAATTGGATAGTATTTTAAATAAAATATTAAGTTTTTTAATATAGTGAACAGTTATGAAATTAAAATGGTTCAAACCAAACTGAATAGTTTGCAATAGTTCAGTGACCATTAATTTGTTTGTTGGGCGAATTTTTTTTAACTCCGTGTATCATTTTTATAAGAATGAAAAGTAAAACTAGGTTAATGAACCCCACGATATTGAAACTGGAAATAAAAATACTCAAATGATTTGTCGACAGCTACTTAATGTTGAAACCTTTGGCGAGTAGAATATTTTTTTGTACTTTTGAATCAAACAATGAATGATCAAGGGTTGATTGAATTGTACAAAATTTATAAATACTAGTCACTGACAGTAACTAACTTAAGGAACGGATTTTAAGTGATAGTGAGTCTCTCAAGTAAATAGTTTTTGAGAGACATGAATCGAATCATGTCAAATGTCTTTTTTAAAAAATGCCAAATTGGCCTATCGTATGAAATTCTAGTTAAAATTAAGTAATAAATAAATTTGTCGGCCAAGAGCCAATGAAAGACCAATGTAATTTTTTTTAAAAATTTAAACAGGATAAAATTAAAATAATAAACGAAGAATTGTGAATAACAGTAATGTAAGTTTATTGAAATGTTTATTTACATTATTGTTGTTTCCATGGTGACAAAATGTTGAGTTTATTTGTTTCAGATTCTATAAAGGTAATAAAAATGCAACTGTATGACTGTGTGAGGATCAGGTGGGTGGGGGAGTTGAAACTTGAAACGTAGAAGGACGCGGTGCACCACAAGAAAACGGGGGGCCCCGGGTTCCTCCCTCAGCGCCGACGATCCAGCCGTGCAGGACGTGACAAGTGTGGGCCCTGATTTATACCCCACCCTTTGGAGATGAATGTCCCTATCTTCATATTCAGACACCCCCAAGTATTTCAATTTTTTTCACTTCTCGACCCCATGAGTGCCTTTTTGTGCTTTAATTGGCCACCTTTTTTCAATATGGTGAACTTTTCCTTTGCAAATTGATACCCACACACACACACACACACACACACAAAATTGTTTTTCTTTGCTATTTTCAAATTTCAAAAGTAACATTAGTATAAATTTGGCTTTGAATTAAGTGGCGTCTACATATACCGATTATAGACCATATTTTTGAACGTCTGTTTTGTCACAACCTTAGTGTTGATGCGATATTCAATTAAAAAGTTTTACTCAATTTAAGAAAATAATGTATCATACGTGCAATGTTGCTAATAATAATCATATAAAACAAAATAATGAAATGAGGAGTACATTTTATCCCTATACTTATATACGTACGTTTACTTGACAAATATGCATTATTATAAGTCACCGAAAAGTGCATGTAACGTGATTATCTTGGATATGAAAGAGTTTATATAATACCAAGAAATAGGGGATCGGACGCAAGTTGTTATATAGCTATATTTGATTAGAAGAAAAAAAAAGATTCAAAATAATGAAAAGTCAGAAATATTATTGGTGGCCGCTCACTTATTAGACCCTTTTTAACAAAATTGCAATTCATTAACAGCTTAACTCGTTTATTTATCATACTAAAATTTGTACAATAGCAGTCATATTTTTGGTTTGTGTAAAATATTCCTCCGTGTTCATATCATCATCGCCATCACCCCTTAGCTTGTAAAAACGTCTCCCGCTGCATGGTGTTGGATTTGCATGCTTTCATATTGCAGTCTATTTTCCGCCTTACGAGCGGAGCGGAAATCTCTGTTGTTAAACGTCGATTAGTTGCGTTTTCACATATTGACATCGACTGAAGCAGCCAAACCATATTTTCATATTTCTATAACAACTTTATGCGCGATATTAATTGTTTTTGCTACACTAATTCGAAAGAATCACGAAGGTAGATTTAAGTCCGCGAGAGGATTTCACAGGAGTAGACTAGTTATATCTATCATCATTAACACAATATATTAGTTTAGTCGCGAATGTCATATCGTGATTTATTTTTTGAAATGTATAAATCTAAATTTCGACAAATCATATTATTTTTAATAATAAAACATAAATTTCGAGCCAAGCAAATGATGGCATATGTATCATCATACTAGAATTTACACATTATGATAATTATTCATATGAGATAACATTAGCTAACTAAATGCAAGTTGATAGACATATTACCAGACGACTGAAGAGGTGATAGTCATGACATTGTTAAATCATTTATATCTTCTTCTATATCTTCTCTTCCAAAGTCATACCTGAGACAGTTCGACGGAGATAATTAACACGGTGCAAGACGTGCGGGGTTCACCTCTGGTCTCATCAATATCAAAACAAAAATAATATCTTCAGTTCTCATAATATTAGTTTTCATTATTATCTGTAATTAATTAAATATATGTAGATTATTGACTAATTCCCTTCCATTATACATTATGTCGGTTAATGTCAAACGAGTGAAGCTTACGTCAATTTCTGTAAATTTTTTCTTTGTCAAACCAATTTATATAAATTCAAATATTAGGCATGTAATGTGGTTATTTTTTATTATTTACCTCACAAAACGAAGAAAGAAAAGGAGGCCAAAAAGAAAGAACCAGGTGCGTTCCTTTTTTTTGGTTTTGGTTGTTTTTCTTTTTTTTTTTTCAAAAGGAAAAAAAAACTAAAAATAAAAGAGTTTCAGTTGGACGAAGTCCAAGAATAACAGTAAACGACTGAAATGGGGAGAGTGTTGAAATGACAATTTTGCGGCCTAAACTTTCTGCGTAATTCTTGCATAAATCAATGGAGTTCGTGCATACTATTTTCGTATACGCGGGAGTACACTGACCCCATACCTGTTTCTCTTCGTTTTTTTTATTACCTGGTTTAATTATTCCCTTGTTTTTACCCTATTTCTTAATAGTACAAAAAAAAAAACTCCAAACAGAAAAAGTAACGGTATCATACATTACCAGACAGATTACTGCAATTCCCTCAAAACGAATATGGACAAACACGTCATTTCAAACCTTACGTTACTAGTTATTCCGGCTACTACCACTTCCATTAATGCACTTCACAGTTCACACTTCCTTTTAGCTACAAATGGTCCATTTCAGGTTTTTTTTTTTTTTTTTTTAAAAAAAAGTTCTCAGTTATTTTTTATTTTTTATTTTTTTGTTTTTTGGCTATTATTACTCATACTTCCAAGATATGGATGCATAATATGAAAAATGGTAAAGGCAAAAAATGGTAAATATGAAAACAGTGTTCAAATTTGATCTGAAACAATGTGAATAAAAAAGGTTGTACTTCATAAAGTTTGCTGTAATAATGAAACTTTAATGTGTAACTCTCTTCATAAGCAGCAGGTAATTATGGTAAAAGGGGCAGCGGTTAAAAAAGAAGTCTTAATAAAAGTAAAATTTAGGAGGGAGCTAGTCACTGAATTACGGTCTTACCCTTACTTAAGACAAAAACAAACATATGTTAAACATGCAACCAACGAATGTGATAAACCTCAACTAACCAATTTCCCACTCTGGAATTATCTATTGGTTTCACAATTTTCACTTTTTGACCAAAAGGAAATATTTCGAATAACCTGTTGCCGGCTTTCACATCATTAATAGCCGGTCACCTGCCGGCGGGGCGAAGTGCCATTTTATGGACTAATCCCAATAAAAACACCAGGTAAATTAAAATTCGGCAAAAAAGAAAGTCAAATATACTCCTCAATTGCTCAAAAGCTGGCTTTGGTTGGGGGAAGGAAAGGACTGAGGAGGGAGTTGAATTTGAATTAGAATTTTTAATTCAAATTCAAATTAAAGACTAAAGTAATATACCTTCAAATTATGATTAAGCCTATAAAAAAAAAACTTTCAAACAATAATAAAAAAAACAAAACACAAAATTTGGAATACTAAGAATGAGAGAGAAAGTTGGGGGAAGAAAGTTAGAGAGAATCTGGTGGGCTTGAGCTGTGATTTAGCTGTCCTCGTTTTCTATTTTTATAATTTATTTATTTATTTTTTGTATAATTCTTCAGAAGAAATTTCTCTCTCATGTCTCCATTCTAATTCTTATCACTCACATTCACACACACACACACACAAAACCAGACTTAAACAGGCCAAAGAGCCAAACCCTCCTTCCAAAATCCCTAGAAATCACCCCCTCCATTCTTCCTCCTTTTCTCTCCTCTCTCTCTCTCTCTCTCATCATCAAGCCACCACCACCATTTCCACCACCACTGAAATCTCCCAAAAATCCCACATTTTCATAGATCTCAAGCTTTTCCCTCATCTCACATTTTTCGAGATAAGGTTTTTGTACTAGAACTGAAAAACCTCACACACTCAAAATCAGTGTCAAAAAAAAAAAGAGAGTATAGTTTCAGCCTCAGATGTCTCATGTGAGATGAGGAAGAAACAAACTTTGTTTCACCTTAATCTCGTACGAGTGTTCCTACATTCTTTGTTAATTCTTGTACCATTTTTCGTTGGTGCCGTTCATTCGGCCCACATTAGTTTCAACCGGAATGGTGGCGGATTGACGGAGGCTGAAGCCCACTTCATTAGGCAGAGGCAGCTGCTTTCTTACAGGGATGAATATGGTGACCGGGGCGAGTTTGTTACCGTTGACCCGACCCTGGTTTTCGAGAACCCGAGGCTACGGAATGCATACATTGCATTACAAGCTTGGAAAGAAGCCATGTTCTCAGATCCCCGTAATTACACTGGCAATTGGGTAGGATCTCATGTGTGCAACTACACTTGTGTTTACTGTGCTCCGGCGTTGGACAACCCAAATATCACCACTGTCGCCGGAATCGACCTCAACCACGCCGACATTGCCGGGTACCTCCCGGAGGAGCTGGGGCTTCTCACAGATCTTGGTATTTTCCACATTAATTCCAACAGGTTTTGTGGGATAATTCCAAAGAAGTTCAAGAATTTGAAGACACTGTTCGAATTGGACTTGAGTAACAACCGGTTTGCTGGGAAATTCCCTTATGTTGTACTGAGTTTGCCGAAATTGATATTTTTGGACATTAGGTTCAATGAGTTTGAAGGCACTGTCCCTCCACAGCTGTTTGACAAGCCATTGGATGCCATTTTTATCAATCACAACAGGTTCCATTTCGAATTACCCGACAATTTTGGTAACTCGCCGGTTTCCGTGATTGTGCTGGCCAACAACAGGTTCCATGGGTGTGTTCCGGCTAGTCTTGGCAACATGAGTAATCTGAATGAGGTGATTTTCATGAACAACAATTTTAGATCCTGTGTGCCGGAAGAAATTGGGTTGCTCAAGAATTTGACGGTGCTGGATTTAAGCAACAATCAATTGATGGGACCTTTGCCGGAAGCAATTGGTGATATGAAGAGTTTGGAAGTGCTTAATGTGGCTCATAATATGCTCAGAGGGACTATTCCGAAGGAAATATGTGAACTTCCAAGGCTTCAGAATTTCACATATTCTTACAACTTGTTCACCGGCGAGCCTCCTTCGTGTTTGGCACTCCCGGCGGTGGATGATCGGAGGAATTGTTTGCCCGGCAGGCCGGCTCAGCGTTCACCGGCTCAGTGTAAGGCGTTATTGTCTAAAAATGTTCATTGTGGTTCTTTTAAGTGTCATCGGTTTATCCCAACTCTGCCGCCTCCTCCTCCCCCTTCACCTCCGGTTCCGGTTCCTTCGCCGCCGGTTCCAGTTCCGGTGCCTTCGCCACCTGTTTACTCTCCTCCACCAGTGTATAAACCACCTCCTTCACCGTCACCACCGCCTCCACCACCACCTGTTTTATCTCCTCCTCCGCCACCAGTGTATTCTCCTCCACCACCGGTTTACTCACCACCTCCTCCGCCTCCATCACCACCTCCACCATCTCCTCCACCACCAGTTTACTCACCACCCCCTCCGCCTCCATCACCACCTCCACCATCTCCTCCTCCTCCAGTCTTTTCACCACCACCTCCGTCGCCTCCGCCACCTTCACCTCCCCCTCCATCTCCCCCTCCGCCATCGCCACCTCCCCCAGTTGTTTACCCATCACCGCCTCCACCATCACCTCCACCTCCATCTCCGACGCCTCTTCCACCGTGCGTGCGACCACCTCCGCCGCCTCCACCAAATTCTCCACCTCCACCAGTCCCCTACTACAGTTCCCCACCACCTCCTCCAAATTCACCTCCACCACCAGTTTACCCATCGCCCCTCCTCCGCCAAATTCACCTCCACCGCCGGTCTATCCATCGCCCCCACCTCCTCCACACTCACCTCCACCACCAGTTTACCCATCACCACCTCCCCCACCTCATTCGCCTCCACCACCATCACCACAGCCTTGTATAGAACCCCCTCCACCTCCGCCACCGCCCCCACCTTCCCCACCACCGTGCCAAGAACCCCCACCGCCACCACCCTCACCTTCTCCACCCCCACCAAACATTTACAAACCACCACCATCACCATCACCGCCACCGCCGGTAATAATCTATAATTCACCGCCCCCACCAACCTATCCTCCTCCTCCCCCACCAGTTCAACACTATTCTCCGCCAGCACCGCCGCCATCTCCTTCACCGCCACCTCCAGCCCCAGTTTACGCTAGCCCACCACCTCCAACTCCAGTATACGAAGGGCCATTGCCACCAGTGGTTGGGGTATCATACGCATCTCCCCCGCCACCACCCTACTACTATTGATTCTTTTTGAGAATTTTTCCTCTAACCAATCTCCAGAAACACCACAAAAAGATAAGTTAAATTGATTCCTCTTAAAGACCTATATTTAGCTGAGCTCTGTATTATTTCCTCGTCTTTTTTTTCACTGTCCACCCCATAAGAGTCCATTCGGATATAGCCACAAATACTTCAAAACCATTCATCACGGGGATGAGGAATGAACATACTCCTGCGCTGAATCCAATTCAGAAGCATTTTGTGCCGGGAAAGTGTAATCTATGGTTGAGAGAGCATTCAATTGTGTGAATACAGAGAAGACGGGACAGAACAGAGGAGGTAGACAGGGGAGAACATTCTCTCTGAAAACACAAAAAAAAAAAAAGAAAAAAATTCAAAATTTGAGTTGCAGCTGGGAAATAAAATTTGGGGCATAGAAAAGAAAGGGTAGTAGAGATTTGCAGGATTTAAGATTTTTCTTACTTTTTTTTTTCTTTTAATGGATTTTTAATGTATAGAGTTCATAATGAAAAATCAAGGAACGGGAAGCCAGTAATTGGTGTTGTTGCTGCTTCTTCTTCCCCCTTTGTTGATTTATTTTACTATTATCATACCTTTTTTTTTTTTGGGTCAGTAGCATTTAGATTCAAATAGTTATACTACTGGTATAATGATCAACACTTTTTCCAGTTGGATTCAATGTTGTGAATTTTCAGTCTCTTTTTTTCCTTCCACTTTATTGTCTCCCATTCAGGTCATGTCGTTGAATTCTTTACTTGTAATTTCTATGGTTTGCTTAATATTCTCAGCACTTATGTGTATTCTGGAAAACGATTGAAACTGATCCTAGAACGCAGAAAACTGTTACCGCATGGGTGAGTCTTTTCTTCATGATGATGTGTGTATATATATATATTATTATTGTTTGTTAGAACCTTGAGGTTGGGGGAGGACCCCAGGAGAGATCTTAGTGGGGGACCTGGATCAAATATATATAGTCACCAAGATTATAGTATGATCTATACTTTCTAAGTTTTCAACGCTTAAATTGTATCAAAGTCACTTCCACTAATTTAAGCAAAAATTTCTATCTAAAAAATTATGATTGGGATTAGGTCCATGTGCTTCTAACCCTTGATGGGGGGATTTGTTCAAATTCAAATTAAAAAAAAAAAAACACAGTATTATAATATGGTTGCTTCAACTTCAATCCTCTGCCTAGATTGGTTTTTGGTCATTGGAATAACATGATCAGCTGCATGTGTTCAATTTTATTGCCGGATCGCCGATTGGGGTGAGCCGGGCGGTGGCCGATGTGGTGGGTAAAATAGGCTAAACTTAAAAACAAATAATGGGATGCCATCAATGGTAGCTTTTAATGGTGCTCGCAAGATCACGCAACAATTCATTTCTTGCCCGTGACAAATGGGGGCGTGGGGGGAGGGGGATTTGAAACTTTGTCCTTTGCCTTTTCTTCCCTTTTTCCCCATGACATGACAGCCGAAGTTGGGAAATCCGTCGATTCCATTAGTCATTCGGAGTTATTAACCCCATTAGCGTTACTACAATCGTGGAGCATCTAGTGTGGAGGAAACGACTGTAATTTTTTATACGAGTCGAACGAATTTAGGAACTTTGACTGAGATTATCAACTCCAGTTATGCTTCATTCTTGGTTGAATGACCAGTGTAACGGTATTACGAATGCATTATAATCTAAGACTAAACAATGGTTAACTTTCTTCAATCATATCTTAAGAGTCCGTGTTATTTCATTTTACTTGATACGAGCGATTGAAGGTGCACTTTCATTTTATTTCATTTTACATCATAAGCCTTTTACGGTCTTACAAGTGACCATTCGAACGGAAGAAGTACTAAAATGTAGTATTTGTGATTGTGTTGAAGGCCATCGATTCATGAAGGCCCAAAAACTACTCCCTCCATTTCAAAATGTAAATCGTTTTAGGTTTGGAGAAATATTTCAAAATGTAGGTCGTTTTAGGATTTCAAGGTAAATTAAAGATTAACTTCCCAGCTTTGCCTCCAATAAATGATGCTATATGTTACTAGGGTAACTAGGATAGCCGGGGACCGGTATGCGTACCTACTGAATTTGCTGCCTGGTAGGACAAGGGGACAGGTTAGCGTTAGGGAAAGGTTGTCGACTTAGCGGCTGGTCCCTGAGGGAGGCCAGTGCGTGGGGAAGCACACAACTGGTAGGGGGCTAATGCCGCTCCCCTGATGAGCCCAGGGCAGGGTGAAACTAGTAGGCTACCCGGGTGTAGACTGATCCTGCAGGGGAAACTGGGAGACCCTGGGGATACCACACGGGTAGTTACGGGAACCGTCGGACGAGACCGTGACAAGTGGTATCAAAGCCATCGTGTGAGAAAGTTGTGTGCCTCCGTTAGTAAAGAGCTCGAGTGCATGATCTGGAGGATGGGTGCTTGCAGAACGCAGAGACGCCGTGCCAAGGAAAATGAGCTGAACGTGCATTGTCGCCCGAGGAGTGGTGACCCGCCTGGAGGAGAGGTGGATGCTTGGCGCAGAGGCGCTAGAGGGCGTGCTAGAATTTAAGTAGGGGAGGTCTGTTATCGGGGTAACTAGGATACCCGGGGACCGGTTTGCGTACCTACTGAATTTGCTGCCTGGTAGGGTAGAGGGATGGGTTAACGTTAAGGAAAGGTTGTCGGCTTAGCGGCTAGTCCCTGAGGGAGGGCTAGTGCGTGGGGGTAGCACACAACTGGTCGGGGGCTAATGCCGCTCCCCTGATGAGTCCAGGGCAGGGCAAAACTAGTAGGTTACGCGGGTATAGGCTGATCCTGCCGGGGAAACTGGGAGACCCAAGGGATTGCAGCACGGGCGGCTGCGGGAATCGTCGGACGAGCCCGTGACAATCAACTTGTTAGACCCCAAATCTCTTTCTATGAATTTGGCGATCTACTGGCGTGGATTTTACCCAACCAAAATCCACCAACCCGCTAAGCAATCACGCAGCGGAAGAAATTCGCTTAGCAACATACAAAAAAATCATTTCAAGGCACACAAACATTTATATTTTGGACCGAAGTCCCAATCACTTGTAATTTTATTACTCAATACAAAACTTACAAGAAATTCACGTCTTCAATAAGACCGGAACCTAACTCTAGGCTCTCATTCCCCAGCCAACAATTTTCTGGGCTTGACTATTTCCCCACACAAGTGTACTTTCGGGTTAGACTTCTCCCCAAACTCTCAAAACTCAAGGCATTCTTACATTTTGCCTTCTCCCTTCTCCTACGCTAATTCCAACCCTCTACATCTCTATAAATAGAGATGACGTAGTTGACATCCCCAACTTCCTAGGATAAAGAATGAAATACAAGTTAAATGGTTTACAAATGCAAACTACTAAAGTAACTACCTACTAAGTAGCTTGTAACTAATTTGTAACTACCCACTCTTTTCCATTCAGCCTCCCTTTGCCTTCTTGCACACGTTCAAGCCACTTCCAACCCGTGATTCAAACCATCAACACTTGCTAGCAACTCATCTTAGCCACCCATCAACACCTCATTAGCATCAACTCAAAGAAAAGTCATAGGCAATAGTTTACCTCGTAACAAACCTCTACTTGAAATGTGTGATGCCCTCATCAAACAAACCAACATAGCTCCTCCAAATGCCACCGATTTTGTTTGAATAATACCAACAATCTCTAAACGTTTCTCCCACACTTAGAGAAACAAGACGGTTGTATCTAGTTCTCAAAACTCAGCGCAACTCCAGGGCATGAATAACTTTCTACCCCTCAACCTTTCTAAGGTTCCCTACTAGAAAATGAAGCCTTACACTATTTCATTTCCTACGAAATCAATAATCAAAGCCATCACCAACAGTCCCATAACTAGCCAGCAACAACAAAGATTCTCAATCTCCACCACATTCACTGCCCTTCTTTTTGCAAAAGCAGTACCCGATCAAAGTGGATCCCCATCTCACCTGGAAATTTTTCACACGCTACATCATTATAGTTAAACAGCCACACGATCATCAAAGATCCTCACATGTTTCAATAAGAAACTCACAACTCGCTGCTACTTCCACCAAGAAACAGCCACGATCCCTCAAGATCCCACATGTTTCATCAAGAAACCAACAACGAAAAAGAAATTCCTACAATTCCTTTTTCAAAACGCAATCAAGAACAATGATAACTTACTGATTGTCCCACACCAAACAGTAATAAACAAAGTCCTTGATCCCAACTGCATGTCCTTCTCTATGAGAACATCAATATGTGATGCACAAATCACCTTGATACCAGCCCCATCTAACCTGACTCTGATACCAACTCGTTAGACCCCAAATCTCTTTCTATGAATTTGGCGATCTATTGGCGTGGATTTTGCCCAACCAAAATTCACCAGCCTGCTAAGCAATCATGCCGCGGAAGAAATTCGCTTAGCAACGTACCAAGAAATCATTTCAAGGCACACAAACATTTATATTTTGGACTGATCTTCCAATCACTTGTAATTTTATTACTCGACACAAAACTTACAATTGATTCACGTCTCTAATGAGACCGGGACCTAACTCTAGGCTCTCATTTCCTAGCCAACAATTTTCTAGGTTTGGCTATTTCCCCACACAAGTGTACTTTCGGGTTAGACTTCTTCCTAAACTCTCAAAACTCAAGGCATTCTTACATTTTGCCTTCTCCCTTCTCCCACTCTAATTTCCAGCCCCTCTACATCTCTATAAATAGAGATGATGTAGTTGACATCCCCAACTACCTAGGATAAAGAATTAAATACAAGTTAAATGGTTTACAAATGCAAACTACTAAAGTAACTACCCACTAAGTAGCTTGTAACCAATTTGTAACCACCCAATCTTTTCCATTCAGCCTCCCTTTGCCTTCTTGCACACGTTCAAGCTACTTCCAACACGTGATTCGAACCATCAACACTTGCTAGCAACCCATCTTAGCTGCCCAGCAACACTTCATTAGCATCAACTCAAAAGAAAGTCATAGACAATATTTTACCTCGTAACACTAAGCACTTTTCATCTAATTTTGGTTATAGTTCCAAAATAATTAATGAAGGGCAAAATAAACACTTAACATACAAATTAATTCTTAAATGATTGTCTCTTTAGTTTACGTATAGAGACTAAAAAAATTTATATTTTAAAATGGAGGGAGTATTTGACTATCTCGTAATCCTCTTGTTCCGTAATTAAGTAAAATGGGATTATTTAAAAACAAATCAAAATGCGGTAAAGGTTGCTATTTGCTACCCTTTATTTTCACACAAGGCGAGGTTCATCATAATCTACTAACGGCAAAGCCCCCAAAAAAAAAAAACAAAAGAAAAGAAAAAGAAGAAGAAAGGGGATAAGGTGTCCAACTAGCATAGACAACGTTTTCTTTTAATTTTTTTCCCCATTAATTAATTTATTCGAGTAGTCATTGTTGAGGAGGTGAACACCTCTTCTCTTTACATAAATGAGATACCCCAGCCAAAGAAAAACCAAACAAGATGATAAAAAGAAAAAAAAAAAATTGGGTTAATAAAAAGGAATGGTTCAACCTCTTCATAGTTGGATAGCATTTCTGCATTTGGGTCATTTTCTCACTACTAGGAAGTATCATATGCCATTGGCCAACTCCACCCTGCTTTGAGAGATAGAAAATTAAATCGATTAATTTCATACGTCCTTTTTTTTCCCACACACAAACACATCACAATCTTCCAATATATTGTTTCTTCCTTGCATGTGGGGTGGAAGTGACAATAAAGAAGAATTCGATAACAATGGCAAAAAAAAAAAAAAAAAGTGGTACTATAAAGAATGGGTTGATGGGCTCATGACGTTAAGGTAAGCACACCTCCAAAATTCCCAAACCAAAAATTTTGCCAAAGTCCAAATTCTACTCTCAAAAATCAAAATAATGCGAAATGGGTAACTTATATTAAGTGGCATCCATGCTGCCATCAGGAAGAGGTAACCACTGCCAATTGTAGGATCCGAGTATCTTTTCAGTTTCATCAGTAGTGATTATAGTCCCAAAGTCAATAATATATACTTTACTTGTCTTAAAATTATTGTTTCGTTTAAATTTTCAGGTATAATTCAATTTGTATTAGAAATAAAAATCTGAATCAGACAATAATTTCGAACGGAGAAATAACACTTATTGATCGCTACATTAGATAGTATTTTCTCCATAACCATTGCCGTAATAAAAATTTTAATCAATACTATACTCAACCGAATGTACACTTGCTAAAGTCAATATTACAATTCTCCATTTGTTTTCTTTTGGTAGCCTAAAAAACCAAATACACTTGAAAAAAAAAAATTGGCCATGATGATTGTCATTTTCAAGGAACAGAAATTTACAGAAGAGGTTGATGATGATTGGGGATAAGATTATGAAGCCTAGAAGCTTGAGAGATGGAGAGAGAGTAACAAAACCACCAAACCATCATAGAATGGCGTTATAATAGGGAAGAAAAATGGGACCAAATTAACATAAAACTCACATGGGCTGTTAGGGGATTCTCACATCAAATGTTATCATCATCATCATCATCATCATCATCATCATCATCTTCATTTGAATGAACCAAAGTTTTAGTTGACTAGATTTCTAATTTTCCATTACATATTACCCTCCCTTTTCTTTTTCTTTTATTTGTACAAAGTGTGTAATAAAGATCAACTAACATTAAATTAAACACCCCCCAAATGACAGCCTGTGAGTAGGTCAAGCCTTATTCATTCCGCCAATTCTACAGATTCTGTTGCCAAATTCCAAATAGAATTTGAAACTGTTCACCAAAAACCTTTGTTTAGTAACGTTTGAAGTGGGCTGTTTGTTTTTAAAAAAGGTGGGAATCAAGGAATTTTTAGTAGTAGACAGGGAAATGCGTACAAAATATGCAAAATATTTAGTAGATGCTCTATTTGCCACTTGGATGTTGATTGCTTTCAGGTTAAGACACAGGAATTGTTTGAGAGAGCACTAAGGAGTAAAGACACTGTAATGAACTATCCCAGAAATGATTTCATTTTTTGACCGTAGGTTTAACTTTGATGCTTTTTTTTCTTTTCCCTCAGTTTTCCACTAGATATCTTATCTTCGTATCGATGATGGGCAAATTTGGCACCAAAGTGACATTCTTCAAGCTTCTTACCATTTTCCCATTGATAGGGTTTTTTTAAAAATATATATATTTTTAAATCCATTCTATTTTATGCTGAATCCCGGTCAGTAGTGTTGCATATTTTCGCCATGTATAACTTTTCCTTCTTTACCGCTACTCCGCTCCGCTAGGTCTTGGGAATTAAGGGCATCTCCAACTCAACATCCCTCTAAACTCTATATTTAGTGGCTACAGCGAAATCCCACTACTTTTACAGTTTAAACAGTGTCAGTATCTCCAACCCATTCTCTTTATAATTCTCTAAACAAATATTTTTCTATATTCTTTTATTAATAATTTTATTTTATTATTAATAGTGTTTGTAATATGCATTTTAATGTTCTCAATTAATGAAAAGTATACATTTAGAAATACAATCAATAAATTAAATTATTATTATTATTATTATTATTAATTATTTAAATTTAAATTTTCAATATATGATCCAATTAATTATACCTAAAAATATTTATTAAATATTAATCATATTAAACAAATCGGTAATGTTAAAATATTAATCGTATTAAATATATTTTGTTTATTTATATTTTTTGTTATGTTATTTAAGAATTAAGTAATAATATATTGTAGTGAATTACAATAACAAACTCATATTACCAAATAAAATACAAGGCTCAAGCTAACCCAAAGCTTAAGGAATTACTAAAAGTTGCAAATATATACGGCCCAAGGTGAACTAAATTGGCCCAGAAATATAAAAAACCCAATAAAAAACCCTAATTTGACCCAAAAAATTTAATTAAAAAATTAGAAATAAAAGGAGATTGGGGCCACCGGGTGAAGGAGCGGATGGACAGAACTCCTTCAGCCATAGCGGAGAGCGGAGCTCTTTGGTGGGGATAGCGGAGCGGGACGGAGTCCGTTGGAGCACCCAACTCCTCGAAATCCAACGCGTCGGCTCGATTTGAGCGGACGCGTTGGATATGCTCTAAGTCGAGGTGGAGAGAGTATTTAACTATTATTCTTTCGGTTTTAAAATGATTGTTTAGTTTGAATTTTTATTTTTAGTACTCTGTATACTTTAATACCAAAGTAAAATCTCAAATTCGATAATAATTTCGGGATGAATTGAGTGAAAAAAAAAAAGGTTGTATTAGTGCCAGATGCACTCTTGTATTTTATTTGGTACATGTAACTTATTTGCGATTTTTTTTTTTCAATCCCAGGCGAACGACGAGAGAGGGAGGGCAATGCTGCATGAGTAATTGTTTCACCTTTCTCCTATTATCTTTTTATTATCATCTTCACTTTTGTGAAACCCAATTGATTGGGGTTTACACGTACCTCACTATATTCTAAGGCTCTGTTTGTTTGCATGGCATTGGGGGGTTGGATTTGGAATTTGAGCCCCCAATGCCAAATCCGGTGTTCGGCTATCTAAAAATAAGATGATATTAGGCTAAAGGCTTCCAATGCCATGATTTCAATTCCGGGCTTGAAACTATTATTTGGGATTCCAAACTCTCATAGAGTTGAACAGTACGCGAGTTATTATCGGGTCAATACTGGGTTATAAGCTATTCGGATCTCTTAAAATTTTTTACGGCCTAATTTGTTATTTTTCTTTTTCTTCTCCTCTCATCGACGAGACAAACTTTTCCATCTCAATTTTACAGCTAGCCCATTTAAGATTGATCAATGGAGAAGAATATCGCAGAAGAAATTAGCGAAAAGGTGGGAAACATGGAATTGGACTGCAGTAACTCTGATGCATCATCTTCCCCCGGTGTCCCTGAAATAAGTATAGCCGTTGATCCTTCTTTTGTCCATTACTTCCCGGGTCTTCGAAACCCACCCGATTCCGGTCACCGTTCCGACGAGGGCAAAAAGCACCAGGTGGTGAAATCTAAATCCGTTCGAACTCCGAAATCACCCGATGATGGCTCTACCAAATCCCGTTATAGACGGTGCGATTTTCCTAACTATGAACGCCACCTTTGCCAGGTAGTTCTTCTCATCCCCACTCGCCTCTTTCCCCTTCTAATTATTTTTGTTTGTTGACTTTGATTTTGATTTAATTTGTTAGTATTGCTTGTGTATATTTGAAGATGGCTATATTCTTGGATCGTGAGAATATATTCCATCAGAGGTACTGTAAGGCAGGATCTGTAATGATTGGGGTGATTGCTCCACTGCCCAAGAGGATGAGGAGGGACCCCCATCCTTGGCTTTTCTTTTTTGAGGAAAAGAGGTTATGGTAGCTGTTAATCATTCAGAACCAGGTGTGTATGTGTGTGTGTTTTTTTTTCCGTCTGATTAAGCTTTCTGCTTAGTAGATGAATCGCATTTTCCATGGAGTTGTAAAGAAAAGAAGTATGCTTATAGCATTTTAATGAGTCAATTTAGCACTGGTTGACACTATGGTTTCTTGCCGCTTAACGGGACTTGTAACAGTGGTTGCAGGAATTGACTACATAAAGATATTGCATCTATTCTCTCTTTTGTGGAATTAGGATGGAGTTGGGATAGGCTTGGTTGCAAGCTCTTTTTCAGCCATGTTATGCCTGTAAAATCACTATAGACGGATTTCTTTTTTTGTGTAGGGTCCTGAATTGTATCGAGCGGATTGTAATGGGTAGTGATGAACGGGAGAAAGAAATTGGCTGCTGGATCTGGAGTGGATAATGCATATGGTTATTTGGACCTGCGAAACCTGAGTCCTGACCAAAATCAGAAGTTAGTGAATATTTATCTGAACTCGAATTTTCCTTATGAAGAGTATGGCCTTTCTCCTCCTTGTTCTCTTCCTCTTCTTTTACCGCAGTGATTTGTTAGTATTAGTTTGGTCACTGTTGATTTGTTTTGTGTTTGTAGAAAATATGAGGACTGGTCTGTTTGGTCTGTTGATGAAGCTGCATGGTGGGCGGAGAGAGCGATGTGTCTAACAGCTGCATGTGCTATTGATGGTGATACTTTTGTCATTGGTATGCCCTGTTGCTTTTCTTAATGTCAGCTTGTATCCGAAAATTAGAGTAGATTCATCTATATTTTTTCTTTCTGGATGGTGAGCGAATTCCTTTGTTGTTTTGTTGTTGTTTCAAGTGTATCATTTAGCTGAGCACGCCCATCATCCATCATTCTGATTCATACAAATCCCACACCACATCTTCATGTGGGTTCCTCCTTTCTTTCTTCTGTTCAACAGCACCAAGCAGACCCTGATGTTAGTACCAGGTTAACCTACCTTAACTGCTTACTCATCCAACTTTTAATGTCTGCAAAATCTCATCACAACAATAAACCCCAACACCTACAATTTTTTAATCACAGAATATTGACCGTAGCTGCTGGCTATTCTACTTCAGCAACAACAAATTTCTATCCAATGAGTCAAAAAACCAAAAACTATATAAAGAGAGATCAATACCTATAAATGAATCTATGTCAAGAGTCCCCTGTGTCCCATCATTTCGAGTATTTGTCCACAAGTGTCCTCGCTTTATCTGGAGCATAGAACCTAGCCTGGCCAAATCAAAATCATGCTTCCCATCACATTACATCTTCTACAAACTTACTTACGGACAACATAACTCGCTAGCAACATTTGGATTCACGACCCCAGTCTTTTCCCCAGCATTAACCAACTACCATAATTTTCAGATCCTCCCATGATTGTGCTCATAATCATTATATGTATCTAAGCTTTTGTTTCACAAAACGCAGGGTGTCATGTGTTCATCTAAACAGAGTGCATCTCAAAATAAGCATTTCTGAAAACCTTGTGGACAATCTGTGGGATGGTTTGTACAAAATTCAACAAGGGGTTACCAGCAATGAATACATTTGTGCCTCCACAACTTAATGTTCAGGTTGGAGAGCAAGGAAGTTTAAAGCATGGCCTTAATTGGTGTTTAGTTTTGAAGGAGGAACAATCTGTCATAGAGAAATAGTTACTGTTGTGGAATTTGATGAGAAGAACTTTATTTGGTTGGATTAGTATTTTACAGATTCAATGTTTGATAAGAATACATAAAATGTTTGGGTGGTTGTTAGATTATATATAAAATTGGGTGATACCGCCCTTTCATTTTATAATCAGTTTAGTTTCTTTGGTTTCAAAACAATCACTTTAACTAAATTAATTACTACATACGTAACCGATTTTTGTAATTTTTATATTTATGTTTATGTAACAGTATTGGAACGACTTAAATTGATCATTATAATGAATATTTAAATAATTGATAAATTTAAAAAATAAAAATTTAAAGAGATTCCTCTTTGTCACCTTAAAGATGATAACAAAATATATTATTCTAGAAATGATACTATTTAAAACAAAAATTAAAAGTTGAAATAATTTCAAAATAAATCAAGTTTTTTTTTTTCTTTATTTTTGTAAAAAATAAGCAAAAGTTAAAACCAACTCAATTACTTGACTATCCGAACAGAGAATTTGGAATCCTAATTGAATTTGTGGCCAATTCCATGATTTTGCCGAACGGATAAATTGGCATTGAATAAAAATATCTTGAATGCCAATTGAATCCCAAAATATTCTAATGCCAATTGAATCCCAAAAACATGTAGCCGAACACACCCTAAAAGGAAACGCATGCAAAGAATAAATGTTTTGAGAACACACATTGTGACTGGGTTAGTCCCATTTTTAGTAGAACATCAAAGAGGAATTTTGGACAAAAAGGACCATGCATAAATATAATGGATTTACAAGGTAGTGTCTTAGTGATGTTGTTAGCACGTGTACAAATTTTGAACGTGCTCCTAAGGTTCATCAATCTGGGGAAATCCCCTTTTAATTAAACCGCAATCACTCGAATGTTTTGATCAATTGATTGGCGGTTCAAATGGTTTAGGAAAAGCGATCAGATGTTGAATTCAACGACCCATGCATAGTTCATCGAAGCTTTCTCAACAAACACACATATACACATATATAAATTATTGGCTATTTTGAATTCTCATTTTTAATATAATATGAACTTAAAATAAATATCTAAATAAATCATTTTGTGATGGAAGAAAATGAAGAATACATACTCCTTCCATAATGATTTTTAGGTCGTTTTAGGTTTGGAGAGATTTTTCAAAATATAAGTCGTTTTACAAATTCTAGGTAAATTAATGATTATTTTTCTAACTTTACCCTCAATAAATGATACCAATATATTTTCATTTAGTCTTGTTTATAGTTTTAATGTAATTAATGGGGGATAAAATATATATTTAACACATAAATTATTTATTAGATAATTGTCTCCTTAGTATATGTATCAATGCTAAAGTGACTTATATTTTGAAATGGAGTGAGTATATTTATATATATTGGCCCCTTTAGTTCGTGAAGAACCTACTGCCCATGCCCGTTTGAGAGTTTATCGAGTGTTGGCCCTATTAAAATTGGGCTGGTACTAGTAGGCCCGTTATTAGAACAGGTGAAACCTAATTGGGCTGGTTTTAATTGGGCGGCTAAGATTTCTATATTTTTTTTATTTTACATTCACTAATTGTTTCTCCACTCTTAACCATAGGTCGAGAATTCGAACTTTACCAGGAGCATAGAGCAACCTTAAATAATTTAGCCAACTGTGACACCCATCGAGATACTTACAATTCAGCGAGAAAAATTAATTAATATTTCCCTCTTTTTATCTTCCAAGTTCCCATCCTTTTTTCACACAATCACACTCTTCGGATTTCACTCTCAGATATTCAATGATTTTCGTTAAGATCAGATCCTCATTTCTTAGACTTTGGAAGCTCCTAGCACAGAACTATCTTCTTTTTCAATCTACGGTCGCCCCATCTACCGAGCTTTAATCGCTCAGATTTCTAATTCCCGCTGTTTGACCCCCCCCGGGTGGCCGAAATTTTTCTTTTTCTTTTGGTTCTGCTGATGCCGTAGAAGATGATGAAACGTCACCGTAGTGGCGGTTTGGTAAGTGAAAATAGAAGTCAAGATACGAATAAGTTTGATGGGGTCGCCTCAGGAGAGCTTCCTACAATTCCTCGCTAAATTGTGTTCGTAATCGGGGTTACCTGATCTGAAAAGATGGGCTTGAGGTCGTCGATCTCTTCTAACATGGAAACAAAATCGGAGAATTTCTCAGATTGCACGAATGACTGTGACCATATGCTTCTTCACAGTTCACACTAATGAAGAAGAATTCGATGTAGAAATTAGAGATAGCAGGGTCCATGTATTGCAGCATATAGTAGAGATGATCCAATTATAGAGAGATGTAACTTTTGAAGATTTGCTGAGTTGGCATCTGACACATTGATTAGGTGTTAGTTATCTCAATTATGTATAAATACTCCATGTAATAGCAGCCTTGGAGCATACACAAAAGAATTTTTCCCAATTTTTCAACTATCTTCTAATAGCAGAATAATCCAACTTAAAAATAGCTTCTATTGATGCAAGTGAGGAGAACGTGACATGCTAGTTTCATTTTCAAATACAACATCAAATGTTTGTGACCATTGAAACGCCATCAATTTTGCATAGTTGTTGTTATTGTTATATTTTTTTATCGTCCTTAAAATACAATTCACATCAAATTTTAACGTGTCCAATTTTTCTTGAACATTGGTAGTACTTCATAAAATATGTCATACATGTAAAACATAAAAATATTGGGATATCATAAACAAAAAGAAAAAAAAAAAGAGTGGGAAAAGAAATGAAGAGGCTTTTTATCTTTTGTGAGACAGAGGAAGAATCTAGCAAATGCTACTATATTCTGTATAGTTTAGGGCCTATAGGCCCTTTTATATTTTGACAAACTATTAGAAGGCCAAATATCTGGGCTGTAGATCATCATGAACAAGGCATTCTTAATGCGTATATGCTGTCCAAAAGATGAGTATACGAATCAGGAACAAGGCCTTAATATGAATCATGTGTCAAACGTCCAGGGCTCATCTCATTTATTCCCCGTCTTCTTCAGTACGCCGTTTTAACCCTGCCTATAATCATATCTCAATCTAGCTTTTACTCTTTCACTCTCCAAATTCAGAGTCCCAAATTCCTCAAACTTCACAACAACGCCCATTAAGTTGCCTCCATTTGTTTGACGTGGCGTTTCAAGTTCCGGGGAAAGATGGTGAAACGCTATCGTATTCGGAGCTTTGGCGGTTTGGTTACTCTAGTACTCCACCAGAAAGAATGGAAGGAAAGTCACTATCCTAAGCTGTGGGTGACGAGTTTTGACATTTGCCGGTGTAAACTTTCTGC